GAAACGGTATTCTTGCCGACTGATTGGTTGTAACATCTACCTGCTTGATAGTGCACAAAAAAGCGTGAAATTTCAATTTTAATTTCCCATCTAATTTTGATATATTTCTTGAGAATTTCTATGTGAGAAACAGAACCCAGACGAGAAGTAATTGTAAAGGTACGTGACATACCATTTTTAGAATCTCGAATTGTAAATACAATAATGTCATCGAAATTTTTTAAATTGACGCCCAAAGTAAGTTTGCATAATTCATCAGAACGGCATGCTCCTGCAATGCCTAAAACCTTCATCAGGAATCGTTGACTTGTTCTGTTGTTTAACTTTTTAGGTGCATAGAAGCTGTCATTCATATGTCTCAAAAATACTCTCAGTTTGGGTATATTGATATATCCACGTTCTCCTCTATGAAAATAGTTGACTTAATCATTGAGTATTCACTCCACAAACTCGCCGTGACCTAAAAGTTCTTTACTTCTCCATGAAACATGCTAGCAGTAGCTCAGAAGCACCAGTATTTTTGTTCTGGTACCATTCCTTGAAATTTCTATGTGCTCGTCCGTTTCGACTTCTCGGGCAATAAAAATTCGCTAGCAGCATTTGCTGCACTTTCTATTTGAAAATCACTCATATAGAAATAATAAATTCAAAACCAGCAAAATTGGAACTTTTATGTACTTAACTTTGTTTATAAACACTTTAGAAACGACAAAATCCAAACAACCAATGCGACTTTGCAATATTTCGAATAAATTGATTAAAAAATGTCAAAACATAAAACCTGATCTTTATTTCATGAACCATAAGGAAATGTGAGAGCAGATAAAATGTTATACACCACACAGCAGTTAAGTATAATTTACCTCCTTTATGGTGTAAATAACTATTTTATTCTTTTCACGCACAGAATGTGTAACCTACTTTTCGTAACACCTTGTATATTAAAATTTTTAATTTCGCGAACTCGTAACGGTAAAAATACTATAGTTGGGTACATGACACTGTCTCTAAGTAAATTTTTAACAACTAAACAAATAACTGTGACTATTCTCCTTATTCATAGAACTTAGTCAATGAAAATATGTTTATGACATGAAAGACAAAAGTAGTAATACAATTAGAGACTTTGAAAGCTTATTACCCTTAAATTTAGGGCGAAATGCCATTGTCATTGGTATGCTGTATTGGTAGATGCTCAAAGGGTGTACATTGAAGATGATTACAATACTATTTTGCAATGACACATATAACACTCACGAATTTTAATTACTGTCTGACCTCGTATACGAGTATTACCAGAAAATTATATCAATTGTTTTGTTAAAATGATTATTATGCTATTAATAATAAATATACATACAATACATTATAATGTTAATTTTATACAAAACTTTTAATAACGGATTACGGATTATGAAAAGAATTTAGAAAACATAATACTGAATGTTGAAATTTATTTGTAAATTCTAATGTAGGTACTATGTGAAATATGCAGAATTATTCTTCGGTTTCATTATTCTTAGATGCTAATAAATATATCTAATTAATTCCTCTGTTACATTTGATCAGATAAAGTAACGATTGAAAAACATTGTTTATCATTTCAATTTTGTGGCACCTCCCAAAACTGTTATTTATTCGGAGTGAATTTTAGTTAATAATTCGCAGAGAAAGTAATATGAGTTGAATGTAAGAACTTTCAAGCTACTTTCATAGATACATGTAGATAAGCATTTTCAAGTCAGTAAAATTTTTCTATTATACTAAATATCTCTAGAATCCATTCAACACCTTGTGACCAAAATAAAAAAACTGTTGAATAAAGTCGCGCATTCTTTAGATCAAAAAGCTCTCAAAAATTAACTGCACCTAATAAATTTTATATTACAAATAATGATGACTAATGACGGACAAAACACAAAAATTTAAAAAATGTAAAAACACATAATTTAGCTTTTAATTGATATAATACAATTTCTTTAATTGATATTCGAATTTGTTTCATTTCAGTTATTTTAATAAGTACACAAAAGTGTGCTACTTAATAATAATGCATTATTTCAAAAGTACCGCCTTAGATAAAAGTTTACACATTAAAAGTTCATATGAAAAAGTTTTGAATTACAATATTACAAATAATATTATTTTGAAATCAGATATTTAGCAAGAATAATTTTCTTTCCAAATTCTCTAAAATATGCCAGTAACAGTAATAGAAGAAATTAAGAATATATGTCTATAATCGGACTATTGGTTCGATCTATCAATTCAACAACAAAATATTGTCCAAATGAAAATCGCATTTATTATTTTGTGTAGCAAAATTACACATATATTTTTAATACGCAGTTTATAAGTATTCGAATAGGACATGCAATCAAGCATATGTACAACAAACATTAATAAATGGCAGTTGTGATAATGGTGTACATTAATGGTGTACATTAATAGCACTTAAATATGACTGTTTGCTCGTTATTTTTAAAAATTGCAATACAGGGTGTTAATGATAAGTTTTACCAAACGTTAATGGTATATTCTACCAATAAATATAATCAAGTTTTGCCCTATACAAATTTTTGATAGGACGTTTTCCTATAGAGATACAGGGTGTTAAAAATTTCAAATATTTATATTATTTTTCTTATAATTTCACTGGCATAAAGGATTTTCTAGTGATTACACGCTTCATAGTTCCAGCCGTATTGTGTATGGTTACGAAACCCTCTACAATGCGCTGCCGAAGTACTTCTACATTGGAAACTCGAATAGGATACACCATAGGTTTTGAGGTAGCCTCAAAAAAAGTAATCCAAGGGATTCAGGTAGGGGGAACGAGCCGGCCAAGCAACGGATCCTCCTCTACCAATCCAGTGATTAGGATACTGATTATTCAGTAACTGTCTAACGGCAACGCTGTAATGAGGTGGCGCCCCATCTTGCATAGACCACAATAATTGACGTAACCTCATTGGCACTTCCTCTAAAAGTGGTCATTCTTTTTGTAGGAACCTTTGATAAAATTCAATCCTCGGTTGATAGTCATTGCAGCTCACGTAAGACATTCCAGATTGTTACATGTGATACACCCAAATCTGTTGATATCTGTCTGGTACTGGTATATGGGTCTTCATCTACAGATATTCCAATATTCTGTCTTCCAAATGAACTGTACGAACAGGTCTTTTGGTAGCGACAAACATGCAGTTTCACGAGCTCGACGGTGAACGCTTGAAAAAGTATTCCTTGTTGGACAACGTCAATTTGGAAAAGTCTGTCTATAAAATCGCTCAGCTTGTCTAGCATTGCCATTCGCTCTACCGTATGTAAAATGTATATCTGCTAATTCAATATTGATAACGGACCATAACTAGCAGAGAAACGCGACAAAAATGTGCGACAGTTTCAAAAAGTATGACTATTTCCTAGCAACAACTTGCCACCTACGGTACTGGTGTTTTACAGTTGAAATGAATTGAATACCATATTTTTTTTTTATTAAAATCTGTTTTTAATTGTATGAAAAATAACAAACTTTTTGCAACTCACAAAACAGTGGCGTTGTATATTGTTTTGAAATCTCTCAAAAATATTAGGTATTGAATTTATTGTTACACATTTAGCAATCAATGATAAATAGCAACGTATAGGTACTTAAGTATCTTCTTATTTGATTTCCCAATTATCTAAAGACCAGTAAATTTTACGAATACTTTACGAGAATACTTTATTGCCACAAATTGATTGTACATTTTAAAAACATTTACAGTTATTTAAAAAACCAGTGGCGCACGATTTTTTTTCAAAAAAGTACACTTACTCCCCCAATAACTACGCCACTGGAGTGTATTTTGGAATAAGTTATCCATGAAAAAATAGTTCCTACTAAAAAAATGTCATCCCCCAAATTTAATCACTAAATATTTTTTGCCAGTAAAGTTATAGGAAAAATCATAATTATTTAAAACTTGTAACATCCTGTATCTCCGTAGGGAAGCGTTGTATAGGGCAAAACTTGATTATTTTCATCGGTAGAATACGCCATTAAAGTTTGGCAAAACTTATTATTAACACCCTCTATAATACCCTAATTTATTACAAATTTTTTTATATCATATAAACAGTTAAATATACAGGGTGTTCCTAAATAAGTGTCGCAACGGAAAACTGTAAATTTCTCTTGAAAAAAGAAACATTCTTTTCCTCTTCCATTTTTCTCTCCGGGCTTTCGTTTTCGAGATACACGGTGTAAAAACTTTATTTTTTTTTTAAATGTTTTGCCAATATCTTAGGAACCGTTTGAACTACAGGACTGAGTTTTTGTACACGCATTACCACTATTAATAGCTACTTTTTCGCACCCTTCTCGAATTCATTGAACGTGCCGTGCCAGTGGTGGAGATTTTAAAGTATCTTAAGGGTTTTTTCCCCCTAACTTTTACGCCACTGGAAAAATTAACATTTGACAGCAAATTCTAAAGCGATAATGAATTTTACACAAAGAGAGTTCTCTTGGTTCATTGCTCTAAAGTCAACCGTTTTCAAGAAAAATGACTTTTTATGAACAAAAACAAACATTTTGCTAACGTTTCGAAAATCCTTTGTAATTTAAAATATGGATAGTAATAATTAAAAATTTTAACGAATTTAACAGCATTTGCAACAAGTAGCTATTAATAGTGGTAGTGTGTGTACAAAAGCTCAGTCCTGTTGTTCAAACGGTTCCTAAGATATTGGCAAATATCTGAAAAAAAGTTTTGACACTGTGTATCTCGAAAACGAAAGCCTGGAGAGAAAAATGGAAGAGGAAAACAATGTTTCTCTTTTCAAGAGGAATTTACAGTTTTCCGTTGCGACACTTATTTAGGAACACCCTGTATATTATGTAACAAAGGCCTTACCTAATTTGTTTTAAAGATTAGATTTAAAGTAAGAGGAAGCAAAATAAATGGTTACCAATGTTGGGATAGGCGAAGGGATGAACTACATTATCGACTTACTAGAATGATTAGGCACATAGGGGCTAGTTGGGGGTACACCCCCAACGGCCTGAGCATAACTCGGGGGCGCCGCCGGCGGTGGCCCGTACGGGGGTGGCATTGAATTCTTGCTCATTTCGAACAGATGTTTACACTGAACGGCACTATCTTATTAAGGGAACTCGAACCGGTGACACACTCGCCTAATTTTAGTCCCTCCTGTGCTAATGCAAGGGTATAATCGGGTTACGCCGGACAACAAAACACTTATAAATAATCGGAAAACCACTTAACAATCCACCACTCGTCCGCTAAAGAAATAAACCGTAGCTAAGGTCATATAACAGCGGTAACAACATAACTACAAGTGATGTTAGGCTCTGAGTTTCGTACGCGGAACCTACATGACTTTATAAAAGGCGTGTGATGTCAGCCAACTTTCTACAAGCCGACCAATTTCCAACTTCACTCCAATATACGAAAAATTCTATGCCGCTAGAGTTGGAGGCGGTGTTCGGATATCTGAATCTTCGCAGAAATGAAGGATGAACATCAATAATTCTATTTTTAGATTGTATTTTGTTGCGCTGTCCTAAATATTCCTATACTGACACCGTTTCAAGCTCAAACATCAACGTGAAATATCAGATGACTATGGAGAGCGGATTACCTTTCTGATTCAAAATTAAGTCAGGAAAATAAAACAAAATTTAATTCTAAATTATCGTCTTGTTTTCAAAATATATGTAAAGTTGCATTGTGTTTAATATACAGGGTGTCCAGGTACTTGATACAAGTACAGATAGATGAGGTCAAAATAATATCAGTTCTTCATATAATTTTTTTTCATACGTTCCTTCGTTAACAACGGGCCCTCAAAGGTGAAAATTAAAAAGTTATTTTTATTTACAGTCTCTAAACTATTAACTTCAGCATGGTGCAAATTTGGTGATCGATAACATATGCGTACAGCTTATTTCTGGTGTTGTAAGTGAAACTTCATTATGCCCAGAACGCCAGGGATGGACTATGCCCAATGGTAAACAACCCAGAATTTTTTGCATAGACGACGATCGCAATCTGCCTGTATCAAAAATAAGTTCTCTGAAGAATTTGCCAACGATAATACCCTCTTGGTTCAACTCGGTAAAATTAACAGTTTAGAAAATATTTGTGATTTTATATTACAGTGCACATCGAGCGGCGCCTCCACCATTTTTTGTTTTTAATTTTTTATCTACGACTATTTAATAATAGACGCATTATAATTGTGATAGTAAGTACATAATGTAACTCATATTACACACCCGTGGATATGAGTTTCATATTCCACAGGTGTAGAATATGAATTTTTATACGTATCCCTTATAGCTTCTGACCGCGCTACAAAATAGAATCGAGCTTGCTTGAATTATT